TCAAAAATTTTGGCCCCAAGACTTTCATTTTTTTTTTTTTTTTTTTTTTTTCCTTTTTCCTCCCCAGAAACGATCCCAGCCTCTGGAGTTTATCGATCCCCTGGCCAACAAAAAGCCCAGGATCTCGCATTTGGCTCACAGAACTCAGCCCGCTTTCGACGGGAAACTGAATTCCTCCAACGGGAAGGACGCCCCTGCCCCTGCCCTGCCGCCGGCTCTCCCGGAGTCAGTGAGCTCCAGCTCCAGCCTCCCGGTGCTGGAGCTGCCAAGGCCTCACGATCCCCTTTCGGATGTCAGCAATGACCTGACTCACAACGGCAGAGACTGTGAGAACCCGGAGATGGCTGACAGACTGACTCATCCTTTATCAACAGACTGTCCCCAAACGAGCAAGCACAATTGCAGCTCGTATGTAAAAACCAAGAAAAAATCCAAAAAGCACAAAGACAAGGAAAAGGAGAGAAAGGAGAAGAAAAATGAAGAGAAATGCAAAGAGGAGAAGCAGGACTGTGAAGTAATAAAAAATGCTGACTTAGTTAGTGTTCCCCAGGAGCAGGTCACAGGTATGTACGGGCCGAGAGCTCCTCCTGTACGGCTTGCGCTCAGATAACCTTGGTATCGGCTGAGGATTTCTGCTCTAAATCTATTTGAGGAAAGTGGTTGCGTGTCCACTTGTAGTGACTGTGTGGTTAACGACATAATATCTCTGTCCCTACCTACAAATCAACAAATGCACTTCCTCTCACCAGAGGGTATCAGGTTTTTCCTGTTTAACCTCTCATGCTGTTTGGAACTGCCTCAGACCGTGTCATGTTTCTCCTTGTTAAATGAAAAGCCTTATTAATATATGGGGATGAAAGGCAGACATCAAGATCTGTTGGAAAAAAAGCAGCGCTGCTTGATTACTTACAGCTCTTCTGCTTGTGTTTGGTATTGTGATGACTGTTGTATTGATTTTTAACTCGGTAATGAAAAGTTAGTCACAAAAGCTTTTAATATTGGCTACGAAAGCAACAATAGATAAGTCTGGTGATAAATGCTGTTCGAGCAGTACACGACCAGCTCTTGCAGGCTGGAAGAGCTTCCGTGTTGCATCCCACTATTACTCTGACAGGTTTTTTTTCGGGTCCTGACACAACCGTGGATCTGTTACCCATTGAGACGCAATGAAAATGTTTCCCATCAAACCAATATATTTCTAAGTCAGTTCCACATACTCTTAGAAGTTAGAGCAGGGAATATATGTTGGCTAATCCAATCCGTTCACCTGCCGGTGCCTGCGGCTCTCATGTTTTCTGCTGTTCCGTTAGGCTTTCTCACAACTCCCCGGCGCAGTGGGACTTCCCCTGCAGCCTCTAAGAACATTGCCGTCCCGATCTGGTGTTAAATTTCTTTTTGCATCCATCTTGTTTTCCTTTGCCCTGTTCCTACTTTCTGACACTGAGCTCATCTTCGCACTCGGTGCATGAAAATCATTCAATTTTGGCTCAAAAAAGACAGTAACTTGAAATGGAAACTGATTTGCTGAATTCCTGGGAAAGGAGAGCTTCGTAGGGCACTGAGGTTAATACGATACTAGCTCTCGCCTTCCCCTCAGTCTTTGTAGCACCTACAGAACACATTCGGATTGCTCACTGGCGATTTTTAATGACAGTCTGTAGTCCTGATCGTTGCGTGGCCCTGCAGAACCACGCTCTTCAGATACTTCTGCTTTGATCTTAACTTCTGTGTCAGCCCTAGGTTTTTTTCTGTGAATGTTGTTGTTCTTCCCCGCATACCTTGTGTCTTGTCTTGAACGCCAGTGGATACACACACACATTCTCTCTCTCGATGTATATTTTTGTCAGTGTTTCTTGTAAATACCAAAGTACTCTGAATTCTTTCTTCATGAAGTTGCTGACCCTTTATCACCTTTTCTGCTTTGCTTTAAAAACAGTTTAATGACTGGCTCTTTGCTAATTAGTAGGAGCTGGGGTTTGTTCCTGCTGCACCACTGATGTATGCGAGGTAACAAATCCGAGCTGGACTTGGGAGTAATCATAAACAGGATGTGGTCAGTGGCCGCTTGGATTTCATACAGCCAGCTCGCATCTGAATTGGGATCTTTTCCTTCTGTGCCTTATGGGCCTAATCCTGCTCCTTTTGTCTGCAGCAAATGGCTGGCAGCCTTCCCGAAGCCCCCCTTGGGCCCAGGGCTGCAGGGGAGCAGAGTTTCTCCTGGGAGGTTGGTTCTAGAGGCAGCGGAGGGCCCTTTGGGGTCTTTTCAGCAGACAGTAGGTGGCACTCGTAGGCAAAATAAACCTCCTTTTCTCTGCCACGTTCTCCTTTCGCGCTGGCGGTCAGGTAGGGACGAAGGCAGAATTGTCTGCAAACGTCTGCAGCAGGAACCTGAGACTGGGGTGTTTATAATGACACTGGTTTTTCTGCCATTCTTCCCTTCTGCTCAGGGAAGCCTTTCTGTGGAAACTCAGAGAAAAATCAAATTTTAGAAGAGGTAATTAGGTTATTGCTCTTACATGCCTGTGCTTCTTACTTGAGCATTTCATGCTCCCTACAGTTTGTAGGGATGGGTGAAGCTTGGGGCACGCGCGTACCTTTCCTGTGCATCTGGGGGGATTGCACACGCAGGGTACTGCTTGCTCTAAGTAACGGGCTTGGGAAGAGGAGGGAAGGAGAAGCACGCTTTTGCAAAGCGGTTGGGTGAAGTCCTTTGCAGCCTTCTCCACTTGCCTCTTCTTTTGCTGCCTTTGCATGGATGCAGTTGACCTTCTGATTAGGATTTCCAGTATAATATACAGTTCATGAAAAATATCCCTCTTCAAACCTGTACCCAGCTGCTTTCTTCCTCCAGGCTAGTAACGCAGTGTTTGGTTTACATTGAGAATGGGGTCTGACTTAGGCTCACATCCAGAATCCCGTTCCTCCTGAGGTCTTTGGTCCTTCACTTAAACTCCGAAGCTTTCTTAGCGGAGCCTTGCTTGATTCATGTTCCTTCAAATTCACAGAGCAGAGAGCGCTTCCATTTGTCTACAGGGCTACGTGAGGAAAAAGCTGTGTGCCGTGTAAACCTCTGTTGTACCCTGGAGGAGTCTGGAGTGTTAATAGTAGAAATCTGAACCTGGAGTATTAATAGGAGAAATCTGTATAGTGTAGAATCAGGAGAGAGGAATGTACACCTTGCTCAGCTCTCTGTTCTGCTCATCTGGACTCACAAATTTATTTTGCACTTTAGCAGTGGTGATACCAGCGTTATCCCACCCTGCAGGTAATGTTTATAAACTAATTAAGGTGTTCTGCTACTCATTGCATCAACTGTTTTGGTGACAGACAAATATTAGAGACACCTTGAAGTTCCAGCCACCTTGTTGTGGATCTTCTGTCTTTGTCAGTTCAAAGCAAACCATAAATCCTTTAGTATTCGATAAACTGTATTGCAGATAAGTTTATGAATTTGACATTTAATTGCATAGAGCTTTCAAGTTTGTCTATAAACAAGTTTTTATTTTTTCAGGTTTAAATGGAACATGCAATAATTCTAGTGTACCAACATCAACTTCAGAAATGCCAGATTATTTATTGTAAGTATATTTATCAGTTGCTTCATCACTTTGGGATCATGTTTCAAGCTAAAAATCACAATGTACTGGGGCTTTTTATTGGGCTTTATTATTACTCGATAGAACTTTGTAAGGTGGGTTTAAAAAAAAAAAGGAGGAAATCCAACTTTGCAGATAGTTTCTGAAACTAAACTTGGTATCAGATCTGTTCTTTACCTCCTTGTGGCGTTCAAGGTTATCTTCCTATAAACCGATTGGTAAAGTACTTCAAGAAACATTGCGTACCTAGAAGGGGTTTGAAAGGATTAAACATCTCCATGTTACAGTTGGAAACCTTGAGAGGAAATGATCTGCTTTTATGTTATGGAAGACAGGGCAAGAAAGGATTTTGTTAGCTAATTCTTCCTCTGTTCAGAGCCAAGATCATCTACATAAACCAGTGAAATATTCTTCATGGGGAGGTTATAACCCGTGGGTTAGGATGTGAGCTGTTTCACCTCTTGACTTTTTAATCAGATCCCCTTGAGGTTAATTAAACAATACACTTGTCTGCTGAGGCACAAAAATCCCTCTGCGTAAAGCCAAAAATGTGCATAAAACCAAACCTGTTATAAACAAAGCTCTCTGATAGCGAAGAAATGTAGCTGTGGGTGATATTCCCCGTGTGCGTCCCAGCCTGGATTTTTAATGCCGTCAGATCTGGTTTGGCTGTGCTGCAATTACTCAGAGGGAAGAGATAGAGGAGGAGGAGGCGGCATCCACTCCTGGCTCTGTAGGAGCAGTCACTGGAGTTGACTTGAGGGTATACAGGGTTCTTGTATGGTTACAAAACCGTGGTTTGCTGGGCTGTATGAACCATACAAACCGCTCGGAGTTGGCATTTCTAGTGCCATTCAGAAGAATGCGGGTGGCTGGGGGTTGTTGGGGTTTTTTTTCCTTACAACAGATGTGCTGGTCCCCCTGTAGAGGGATATTACAGCTCCTCAGTCCATCTTCAGAGAAATCCTGTAAAGTTCATGAACTCCTGCAAGGTCTGTCATCCCACCTTTTGGCATGATCTGACTGTTTTGGTGGTCAGCTCCTTAAATTGTAAGAGCTGTCACTGCTGTTTTGATCATGGGAGGCATAGGTTTCATACTGGTGAGGACAAATTCCTTGTCTCATAGTAATGTGTCCTGTGTTGGATGCTTATTTATGCCAACCCCTAGCAAGGAGTCGGTTCTTGAAGGCTAGAGCACATCTAGGCTAACGGAGGGAAAGTTTTCACTTAATTTGATACCTAAGTTAGCTTATACATGTTCATACACCGAGCTGGCACTGCTGCAGACTGAGTAAGGTGGCAAATGAGAGTCATCACCGACAAAAAGATGTTTTACCATCAGAGAGGGCTGGCTGCTGGGCTTTCTGCAAAATGTCAGGTTTAATGGCTTTTTTGTTGAGCTGAATAACTTTCAAAGGGCCTTAAAGGCACATCCGTTAAACACGAGCTCTTGTGCTCAATTCACGTTGGGTGTCTTCAGAAGGTAGCGGAGATAGATTCCGTCTGTTCAGCGTGGTTTCTTGTCATGCGCTTGCCACATCGTCGTATTGTGAGCATTTTGCAACGATAGCTGAATGCTTTTTGTGTTCCTTTAAAGACTCTTAACACTGGAAGC